AGCCCCGGATGTGCACCACCATGCATGCACATGACAGCACCATGTGCGCCTTGTACCACTTCACGCTCCCATTTGGGGCCTCGAAGCAGAACTCGTAGCCAAAGTCTGTTGTGACCTCGGAGCCAGCAAGGCAAGCGCTGAAGTCGTTCTGATCGCTTGATGGCAATGGACATGGGCATTCAGGAACTTCTTGACTTCAAGCCAAGTGGCAATCTCATTCCTCTCCCCTAACTTCTCGGGCGGCACATGAACCCCCTCTTGCACTCCTTTCCGTCTCATCCAGAAGTTCTGACCTCGGGCCCGAAACTTAAATCAACAGAACGCATCGAAGCCGCAGACTGCCGGCCCCAATTTCCGAGCTCCGGGCACATAGTCTTCAAAATCGAAACAAAAGATGCTCGCCACAGCACCATTCGTGGATCACAAATGTCCATCTGCGCCTGCTGCGAGATCAAGTGCTCAATCTCTCGAGTTTTGCTGTCCTTAGATGCAGAAAGATAGGGCTCAGACAAGCAGAACCCGGCAGAACCAAAGCCAACCTGGGACCTAGGCCTAGGGCTTGCACTTACAGGCACAAGGACCCCCTGAGTGCCTGTAAGGCTCGGTGATGACTCCTGTCTTAGCATTCCCCTTCAGGGACCAGACCGCCGCGCCACATATGCGGACATAATTCGCCAGCATCTTCGACTCTGAGCGTAGCTCAGTGATGTCCTGCGAAAAAGGGTCAACAAAATCGACGAGGTAGTGATAATTAACTAGCACACTGAAGCACGGAGTTCAGACGGATGGCAGGGCACACTGACCGAAGGACAACAGGGTAACTCAATATGGCTACCACTACCACAATACCACTCAATGCGGTCGCAGTGTTTCAAACCTGTCATGGCCGATACCGATCACGCCCACGATGTTTCCATGACGATCGCGGCGGGCAGTTGCACTCCACAGAATATCTTTTCGCTGCCCGCTCTTCGTCCACAGAGAAAACTCATAATTGGTGATCTCCTGCGGGTTCAGTCGAGGACAGAGAATGAATGCTTCAGGATGTCAGATCTGTGCGGTGACTCGCATGTCCAGGAGTGACTCTAAACGCAAGCCCCCCAACACGGTCCTGACCGTTCATGCCCTGTGAGAGCATGGTCTGTACAGAGTCGGAGAACTCATCGGCAATGTAATTCTGAACCAGTCGCTTCCCGACAGCTTCCTCCTTGGTAAAGCCCGTCAGAAGTTCGGCTCCACGGTTCCACTCCTCAAGGCACAGAAGCTTTAGGGGGATGCGGCGAGACAACCCATGCTAGGCTGCTAGCTCCTCCACGCATCCGGACCTGTCCACCGCAATCAAGGGGGCATTCACCTCTCCTCAGCAAGACAGCTCTCAAGCAGAGAAGGCCCACAGCACGCATCATGATGAACTTCCACTCTGAGCATCGGATGAGCCGGTCTTGAAGGGTCACTTCGGAGGAGTGCGAGCTCTTGAGCAAGCCGGTGACTTCCTGTTGTCGCGGGGTTTCGCCGGCACGAAGCAATGATGTACCGTAGCTTGCTGCGTTGGCTGCGGTCCTGGCCAATATACAGCACGCCTGCTGCATCTTTGCTGCTGGCACTTGGGCAGCTGGATGCCAGGAATAGAACCTTCTACGAGTTTGCACGCAGTGTGGTAGCGAGCCACCACTGCGATCTAAATGACAAGTTGAAACGAATTCCTAACACGCGGGCTTGGGACAAAGTCGCACAGAGTAAGCACAATCATGTCAGTTCTTGACTCACGCCATTGCAAAGCGAGAAAAACGACGGTTCACCTGCACTGACTCGTCCCGAAGAAATTCGGATCAGGTCGTTCCTGGCCTTTGTCCTGACATCACCTGTCTACTTTGCACTGGTCCCAAATGGCGGAGCGTTTTCGGAGCAGAGTCTGATCTCCCATCTTCTGTGTTTCATCGACGGATCCTGCCACCTTGTGAACCCAATATCTTGTCGGGTGGACCAGTGTTGGAGTCACCGGGCAAAAACACATCTTACGCCAGGCCCGGATTCTGGTCGCAAACTCAACCACTGCTGAAAATGCCAGATTGGCCGCACACCTCATGCCACGACAGGCTGGTAGACGAGCTGTTGTTCATGTGGCTGCGAGGCTCCTATCTTGTAGTTTGTGTTGCTCGGCTAGGCTATGCAGTCCTCAAGATGCCCCCGTTGAAAGGCTATGGCTGCAAATCTGGCGGGAGCCTCATGCCACGGCTGCCCAGCCGCCCGGGAGTGCACGCAGAAACGCCTCTGCAGGTGTGCCACGCCATTGGGGGACCTCGGTGTTGGAGGCGTGAGCGTTTGATGCTGCGCCGATCCGAGGGCCGTTCTAGGCGCTTCAGGCAATCATTAGTGTCAGTAGAATGGTGGCAGGCGCGACTGACTATTTACTGGGCTTCATGCCGCAAACACACTGGCACAACCACCCTGAATCTGTCTGTGCCAAATGCGGGTCACACTATTTTAAATCCATGACACTGGCACATCAAACTTCATAGGCGTTTCCTCCAACTATCCATGCAGCCTGCGAGTCTGTTTGTATGCAAGCTGAGATGCAGCATCGCTTTGGAGGTGATGGCCGCCTTAGCATCACATTTAACGCGAGACATCGTCCCAGCCAGCGGCAGGTTCCCTTGTCTGCTGCTCTCAGTTTGAATTCAAGACTCCTGTAAGTCAGCCAAACCAGGCTGGTCCCCTGTCTCGAGAAACTCGGAGAACGGTCTCCTGCCGAAGCATCGGATACTCCCATAAAAATGTCACCCCTTGACAAAAAGCAGGGAAGTACCAAGGCTTCGAAGGGTGCCTCAGGGCTGACTCGCAGGGGCAGCCAAAGACCTCCTCAGCCTTCCTGTTCCATCGCGTGATCAGGCCATACCGATCCACGGCCTTGGCAGACTGCGACCGTACTAAGAAGCTGCCTTCTTTTGGGGAAGTTGGGCTGCTGGTAGCAACCTAGGGTTCTAGCGACAAGTAGTGGCTGGACCGTTCTCGAAACCCCTTCAGCCCCGGATCCAAAAGCATTGCACCGGCTGCTTATTTAAGCATCCAGTCGGCTTCTGACTTCATGTAGCATTGATCTGTGAGAGCGGACATCCACCCGCTGCTGCCGAATCTTCTAGATTCTAGAGAATTGATGGCTGAGCATGACATGTAGGCTCGGCACGACAACCGGCGCATTAGCACCATCGAAGCATCGCCGGAGACAGCCATAAGCCTGCCATGCAGCAGCTGAGGGTATCTGAGGGTTTTGTTTGCGCCACCAACCGGAGCAGAGGCTCCGTGCAAGAGCAGACTGAGCAGAGGGGTCCAGGACTTGCTCTTGGGACTTCTTCGGACTTCGGCAGCCTCGGCCTGGTCTCGGAGTGATTTCTCCGCATCTGCGAGAGCCTGCTCCCAGGCTCCACAAATCTGCGGTGACTTCCGAGCTCAGCAATTATCTCGGGCAGCAAAGCACAGTCGATGTCGTCGTCCTGGCCTTCTTCGTGGCAGAGAGGACTTTGCGCGAATCTGCCAGGGCACGCTGAGCTTCATTGAGCTGCGCCTGGTGGCATTGCGACTTGAAAAACTCCGGAGAGTGCTGAGTACTGTCCGACACAGTGCACCAGTCTTGGCACCAGTATCAATGTGACGGCATGCCAGGACTTGCCATGAGTTCCACATTTCTATTCGCACGTCGACTGCTCTGTTCACATGCCTGCAATTCGGAAGGGCTTGCCACACAGCAGCTCATCTCCTCCTGCGCTTGCTCTCAGGTCGGGTCTTACTAACTCATCGGTGTTTCGCTGCTGCGTTTGGGACATGCTTGCAATCAGCTACAATCAGATGACATAGCAGACCACACTGGGGATATGTCCCGAAAAGGACCGTCCACACTGAAGTCAAAAACTAGAAAGCACGGAGCACGGGTCTCCAAAATTCACTCCTTCGCGAATTTGGCGCGCCGAGGCCACCGGAAAGATTAGGCGCAGCCTGCATGAGATCTTGGCCTGTGGCGTTGCATAGTTGTGGAGATGTAAGCGCTGCTGGACAGCGTGACTAATTAACCTGAACTAGCTTGCCATTATCTTGCCGTCGAAAGCCCGGAAAGCTGGGTGTAACCTTAATTTTTCTTATGCTACGGGCAGCTATCTATTGCACAGTTTATGCCGACAGTCGTGAAATCTCGATCAGCATGTATGCTAGGCTACAGTGCCTTCTCATAGTTGTGCTGGAGCCAGCAAAGCTGCGGGTGCCAGCAAGAACCGGGCTCAAATATGGTTGAGTTGCCACTTCGTGTAATCTTCCAGCATGATGTCGCGGTGTTCCGCGGAAGCGGGAACGTGACGTGCGACGCTTCTCATGCTCAATGGAAAAAACTATACGAGACATGCTGCACGGCGGGTTGCTTCAAACTCTCTAGACTCGGGTCCCTTGATGTCCCTTGATGTCTTGTTTGCTTAGGGTCGCATTTCCTTCATCTTGGAAGCTTATCCTGAAGGCTACAATAAGCCCGCGTACACCCGTGATTTCATTCAGGGAGCTACCTGTACTTTGTTGGATATGCGCGAGATGCAGACCGGGTAATTCACAGGCGAGTCGATACTCAAGCTCTTGAACGGCGGATGGATAGGACTTGTCTATACTGCACTACATTGAACTTAAAGTAGTCTTTGAGAGCTTTCGCTAGCCAGCCCGGTAATTCTTCACGACAACACAGCACGCAACGCAGAGCTCTGGCATACACAAACGTTTAGGGGCATGATTCAATCAAGGGCCTTGACAAATCGAGACTGTTTTGCAAAACAGCCTTCCAGACGCTCGCACCCTGTACTGGTCGCACGTCTTGAAGATCGCGCTGCCCACACAAAGTAACACGATGTAAGCAGAAGGCACAGCGGACAGAGGAGTCTGAGCAAAGCATTGCACCGAGAGGAAACGGCGCTGCTTCACTTAGGAGTCTGTTTGACAGAGTCTGACCCTCATCTCAATATCCTCATATCTCACTGTACAACTTTCACTGTGTAGCTGCAGCTCGGCGCCATCCCTAAACCTGAGACCGAGGCCCGGATGAGGCAAGCTGCAGACAGTGGCCATCACGGCACTCAGAGCAGTGTGAGCTTGCAAGAGCTGGAAGTATGACAACCTAGATCCTGACTGGCCAGGCTCTGCCCATACATTGCCTGCATGGAAACGCACGGAGCATGCAGCATTGAACGCTCAACGGTGACAGGCAGGCTGAGGTGAGGCAGCTAGGCTGCTTTAGTCGGTCACTGCATCACTACCGTCACGACATGTCTAGACTGAGTCTAGATGATCGGTGACTTCCGTGTCTGGCAACGACTGCCGCGCCTCATTGACTTCGACGAAGACCGAGGAAGCAGTGCCCGCTGTGGGGCCTGAAACCTGGGTCAGAAAGTGATCAGTCGATCACTCGGCTTTACGTTCTGCCTTCCCTGTGAGCGCGGCCGTGATTTTCCACTGTTCGCGCTTGTTGGACAGGAGCTCGTAGGCCTCGCAGCAGCCATGACAATGGTCATGCCCAAAACCCCCAGGACATGGCTTCGTGCTGTCTGCTCGTGTTGTCCAATAACGGCGTCGTCCTTGGAGTTGAGCTCGAAGGCTGTGGTGGCCTCGACATCCAACTTCTCTGTCGCCTGAAGAAGAAACGGCTGACACCGCTCATCAGGCAACACATGACCGGCTGGTGTGCAAGCGAAGGGCCTGCGAACCACCCGGCATCTGAAAGTGTAATGTCGCCTCAGGAGCCGTTCGTCGCGGCACGCTGCAAGTGTGCACCAAACCCGAAGCCGCACAGAACTAGATCCAGGGCTCACGCTTTCTTGTCAACAGTCCCTGAAGACTGCGCAACAACACGCAGTAGGTCTTGCCGCTCCTTTCGGCTGGCCTGTACGACTTCCGAACTGTATTTGAACATGTTCTGACATGAAGACATGCATCGCCTCTTCGTCACTCATGGTGGACAGCCACTTCTCATGGTCCGCCACAACCTCGGGAAACTTGGCAAGAATCGCCCACTTCAGAACCTTCCAGATCCCGTGCGATTGGAAGAACATGCGTAGTGCTGACGGAGGAGTCGCAGAAACTATGCACTTCAGGGCATAGGAGAAGAATAAAATTGCTGCAAACAGACACCTTGCGGCTATATCACCTAACACATTCAAGGCAGATGCATCACGAGCCAGCTTGAAGATCTTCTGCGTCTCCTGCGCCGAATTTAGGTTCGGGATGGTTGGATTCCTCCCGTCCTCTCGCTAAAACGCACCCTCAGAATGATGCATCGTGCTTCGCAGACCCGCTCTCTGATCTTCCTACGAAGCGCCGGACCGCCAGAACGAAGAGCTGACCGAAACATGTCCAGCTACGGCTGTGTCAATTGGTCAGCATGCAATCAGGATCACACCCTCAGAAGTCAGTTTGGGGGCACATGAACTTCCACGGTCCACGCGGCTAGCATGAATTGGTCCGCCGAACGTGGAAAGGTAAGCTTGGAAGCACACACACACACACACACGCACAAAGGCACGCACTCGCACGCACACTGCAAACCAACAGAAATAACAGAAAGCACATGCCTACATGCGCACATTCATTCAGGTACATTTTGAAATGCAGCTTTCCTGTGGGACTGTCTGCACTTTGAGTTGTGAAGTTGTCAATTCATGCGAATATCACGCCTGCAGCAACTCTTCATTCAGCTGTCCGTTCATGTGCGTGCAGTTAGTGCAGATGTGCATGGAAGCGAGCGAGTTTACATACAATAACCCGAGCTTTTGCCCGAGTAGGTGGATGAGTGCAGGGGTATGTGAACGGTGGTGCATGTCAAGACACTTGCGATGGCTCGCACGCATGAAGACTATAGAACTGCATGGATACATACACACTGTTGTGCCCAGCTTCATTCACGCGTGAGCGCAGACTTCTAAGTGCACAATGGGCCTCTTCCGAACTGGGCTTCAGATCGCTCGGGCCGGCCCTTGGAGTCACGGCATGTTCTCAGCTCGGAGATCTCTCGAATTCTTGGGGCCGCTGGCGGCAGCACGATGGGATCGGATCGAGTGCCTTCGAGAAAACACGGTGAACCACGAGTCAAATGGGCGCCGTCGGTGCGTTCTCGGCGCTGAGGCCCAGGCCCACGAGGCCGGGAGGGGGCGGAAGTTGGGCGAAGGGCGCATACTGCAGACAGACAGGACGAAAGAGAAAGGAACAGGACGAAAATTGGAGAGTGTGAGCGGAGGTCCTGCATCGCGCTTGAACGCGTCCAATGCCGGAGGCTGATCTACCCACAACACGCTATTCAGATGTACGGGCCGAATAAGTAATCCTTTTGGAAGTAACTGGGTGAGAGCATGGTAGGATCTCTCAGATGCCAAGGCGATAGCCTGCTACCATGCTTGCTCTGAGCATGCCGCGGAGTGCTTGAGACATGCTGGCAAACAATGAGAATACAGCAGCCGTATGGCATGTACAGTGCTTGCGTGACTTTGCCCACCAAGGATCGCCTCGATAGGCTCGTGAAACCGATTCCTGAAAGCCTCACTAAAATCTATTGCTGCACAAGCTAAACTGTGAAGACAATCCTTTCTTCGTCCGGTCATGGCTTGAAAGCGCCACGAGATTTCAGGAGCATTGAGCGTTGTCCCAATATGTCTCCCAAGCCTTTCAGTTGCTTTCTCTGCGTGTCCAAGATGGCTTTCTCTGTCTCAGTTCGAAGCGCTTCGAACTCCTCTGCGGCTTTCCCTGTTAGGCTGGCCGCCAAAGCCGATTTACGCTGCGGAAGCAACTCGCTTGCTTCCTTCTTGGCTGCAGATGTGGCGGTCTCGGACTGCATTTCGATAGCACGGACAAGGCCTTGCAGAAGATCCTTCAGTGCTATTCTGCATGCGTGGAGGTCCTCCTGGTGTGCGGCCTTCGCTTTCTTGGCTCCAGATTTGGGAAGTGCTTGAGCGCTCCACACTGCTATGGGGATCAGGATCAGCAGGCAGCTCAGCATGGAGCCTAAAGAAGGCTGCCCGAAGGAGCCCGCGACGAAAGGGCAATGCTTCCATTGGCCCTCCAACTGAGCGCGAGGCGGCGGATCAAAACCCGAACCAGACACTTCCGAAGTCGAATTCTGCACCGCGGCGAAGGCTGCGACCGCTGCGCTGAGAGCCTCCAAGTTTTTCGTTGGCTTCTGCCACGACTCGGTGCCTGCAGAACATTTAACCACCATCAAGGCTGTCTCGCATGCAGCATAGCTGCATGCATCCGATAATCTCTGGAAGCTGGAACTTGCTCTGCTCCAGCAGCTGCAGTCACCAGATTGCAGCAGCTCTTTCATGGAAGCTGCAGCAGATTCTACGTCTGGGATGTCCTTCCAAAGCTCTGTGAAAGCGACACGTGCGGACTCGACGGATCTCGATAACTTATCCTCAGCTGGCCCATCCTTGCAAGCTAAATGGCCTAGTGCTTGAAGCGTAGATCCTGCAAAAGCGACTTTGGCAGCAGGATTCGCTGCACCGTCCAGCAACTCTGCAGCCGCTCCCTGGCTCTTCGGCTGTTGCCTGGGATTCCCTCGTTTGCAGCTCCAGGATGTCCCAAAGGAAGTCAAGGACTCAGGTTCAGGCCGCAGTCTGTCCCCCTGCGAAACCCAGCTTGGGTTGAAATGCGCCATCAAAGCAATGACAGAAGGGGTCCAAGCCTGCCCCGAAAGCAGCTTGCCTGGCATCAAGCGATCACAGGCAGAAAAATGCGAAATTTCTACTACAAGAAGCTGCCAAGGCCAAGGCTAGCAGCAAGCAGCGGAAGCGGCTGCAGACCATTTAGCAAAGCCCGGTCTTGATTCCTGCCAAGCGTTTGCTGGAGTTTGTGCAACGTGATGACGGCATCCGGGGTGCTCTCGCGAAGGTCTCTGCTGTCCTGCTGGACCAATGGCTCGATGGTTTCTCTGCTATCGCGGAGAGCATCCGGAATTGCCTGCGATTGCCGGTTTCCATGAGAGGCCTGTAAAGGCCGCCTGCAAGGCACGGAAACTCTCGCTGGTGTGCCTCCCGCAGCTTTCGACCAAAGCGTCCCAGGAGGCTGCAGCCGCCACATCCGCTGCGGTCTGATCCATACAAGTCAGGGCAACTTGATGGGCGGTCGGCGAAGCGGGCTCCAAGCATCATCGAGAATTCAAGCGACCAGAGGGCAAACAAAGCTCTCCAGGCAGGCTCCAGGCATCCCACGCGCAACCACTGCAACCAGAACAGCATCAGCAACGTAGGGAAACAGAGCCAGCATGATCACATCCCATCATATCCAACATCCAACTGGAGGCAATTCAGCAACGAAGAAAGCGGGCGTCGCGAAGCAAGGGGGGTGGACGATACATCAGTCGATGCGGGTTTCGGCCGGCATCCAGGCCCCACCGAAAGCCTCGCTACTAGCTTTCGTGATTCGGGCACAGGTTTGGACCCCTGGCCTCCTCAATGACGGCCCTGGCCCACATGAAACTGTTGCTGACCTGGCAAACTCTCCATACATGCGCCGAAGAACAACTACTCAATTACTTGCTACCACTTGCCCGATCCCCGAGTACGGACCTGGGCGATTGAGTCGACGTACTCAGGAACGCGGCACAGAACGCCTGGATCCGTGCTGAGCAGTAACAGAATGTAACAGACGAGGCGACTTCTTGAACCACAGCAGATATTCTTCTGACGTCTTGGCATCGGCAGTGGGGCCGGGGTCTATGCACAGAAACCGTACAGATACTCACGCCCAAGCCACCGAAAAGTGCTCGCCTTGCATTCCGAAAGCTGCATGGAGACAGTCATTGCCATCTTTGTCCAGATCCTGCAGTGAACGGGCCAGCCCTTCTCTGGAGGAACTCACGCACGAAACTCACGCACAGGATTTCCGGATGTGTGCTGAATCCCACCCAGTACGTGTGAATGGGAAAACCTGCAGAGGTTCTGCATGTTATTTCGGCGGGATGGGGAAGAAGCGCGTTACGGAACCTAGCATGAAAAAAACGTAAGCCAGTGGTGATAAGGTCCTCATGAAAGGACTGGATGCTGCGGCAAACCTGTCACATGGGCTATGGCTGCAATTTCTTCACGAGAACGAGCGTCAGCCAGCATGCAGAATCCAAGGCCTCTCGAAACTGTTCGGGGCAAATGTTCTCCAGGGCATCAAAGACCAAGTGCGAGAGGCTCTCATGCTGCGCAGGGGAATGAAGTGGACTGGTTCAACCCAGAGTCAGGTTCAGTCATATGCAGTGTTTGTTGCTCAAACTTTCTGCTGCACGGCAAACACGGCATAACAGCTAGACATCAACATTCACACGTGGACCGGGTCACCATGATGCAGCCAGTGTTTGGCCAGCATCAGGTCCCATACTCACGCCGAGAGCAGTCGCCGGTCATGCTTTGAGGCCTCAGTTTCATCGAGGGCAGATCGGGTGGTCGGTGTTTGCACCACCGCAGTGGCCACAAGAAACATAGGCTCTACATGAGGCTACAAACAGACTGAAGGTCCCGGGTTTCCCTGACTAAACTTCTGACTCAAAGCAGATATCCATCATGTTCTCCTGAAAGAGCTGAGGCCGACACACTTCCGAAGCTGACTTATTTCATCGTGGCACTCTGAACCTGAATCGCCGAGACTCCGGGCATTGGGGCCGTAGCTCCGACGCAGCACACGATCTTCCCGAAGCTGAGGCACTTACACAGGTCTGAGCCTCTGCTCACCTTCCGCTGAAAGCACTCGCTGCCTCTGGCGTGGGGCACAGGTTTGCTTGTTTCTGCCCTGTCTATTCGTGCACAACTTCTGGCGACGTAAAACTGCTTCTGACTCTCCACTCAGGCGAGCTTGCTTGGGAATGTGGCACATTTCCTGCGGACGTCTCCTCTGGGACGCCATGAAGTGACTCAGCCTCAGGCCACCAATCGCGCAGCTACAGCTTGAGAGCAACACGCCCCGAAAGCAAGATACTGTACCGATCTTCCCCGGTCTATGTCGAGGTAGCTCTGATCCAGAACTTCTCCATGCTCCTACATAACTAGGCACTGCGAGTTGCCTTCGTGATATTATAAGTATACTTGAAGGCACTGGCTGCTTAGGCGATTCTGATGTCAGCAATCATCGGGCTCCACACGCTGTGGCCTGCACCAGAGCCGAGTCCTGCGAGCTGAGCACACTGCTCGACTCTATTTTTGGAGGAGCATAGGCCTAGGCCTGTCTTTTGCACGGTTTTCCTTCGAGTCTTTACAGCCATCGTTTTTCTCCTCCGTTCGAACTATCCCTCTGCTGCGCAATGCCAGGGCGGTTTCTGCCTCGAGAGCGGTTGCTGTCAGCGGCCGTCGCTGTGATTCACGTCAGTCGTCTAGGGGTGCAACCTTCTCGTCGCCACTTTCACCTGCAAGCATTCGGCGCAAACCATCGACGGTCGGGTGCAACAGCAACAGTGCCCGCCCCTTCAGACCGAATTCAACTAACTCGAGCACGCCCCGGCAAGACGATTTCCAGATGAACGCCAACAGAAGCTTTGGTGATGTTCCGTCATGTCCGGACAACAGCAGATTCATGTCGCACTCTGAATGCCCTGACTGGCAAGGGCCCTGGAAAGCTGCAAATGCACAAATTGCTCTGACCGACTAGACCGCTAGAACCTCTCCTCAGGCACGGACTACTGGACACAGTGTCAGGCGAGTCCCCCCGCCCTTTGTAGACGCAGGCTGCCTGCCAAGTGTCCACATGATTCACCTTTATGTGCGAGAGTCGCAAGAACTGCCTGCTCCACAGGTCCAGCTACTTGGGATCACACCTTCTCATCCTCTTGCGCCGACTCGCCGCCGGAGCCATCTTGGTCAAAATCTGCCAGAACCTTGTGCCATCGTCTCAAGCAGCATGCTGGGAAAGACACTACCCGTGGCCTCAGGACTTGGGTCGCTGCATCTCCGGCCTCGCCGAACACAACGTCAGGCGGCCTTTGCAAGTCCAGAGATTGCGGTCGCGTTTGAAGCCCAAGCAACACTTGCCTGCAAGGCTCCTCCTCGCATTCGTCGGCACTATCTAGACAAGGTGAGTCGTCTGACCTGCAAAGGTTCCGGGCTAGAATGAATTTGCAGAGGATGCAGCTCTTCTGTGCTTTCACTTAGGCCAGTGCTCATCCAACACTGGAACATTTCTCTGCTGCAGCCAGGACAAAATTATCTCCTGGCAACAGCATTATGTAGAATGGCTGTCATGCGGGCACGCTTGCCCGCTTCAGCAAGAAGGGTTAGACAGTGCACGTCTGCTGACTCCCAGCCCGGGACAGGTTAAACAAATTCACAGAAAACCTTACAGACACCTGGCCTTGGCATCTTGCAACTGACGAAAGAGGCGAGTTGCCCGGACCTGGCAACTGCGCGCTCCTATTCTGCACAGCTGCAGCAAGCCACAAGCTGGGGCGACTCGCTGATCGGGCGGAGCCTGGGGCATCAACAGAGGCAAGGAATCAGCGTTCTGAGCAGGTCTACCGCCTTGTCCGGATGCCGCTCGCGAGCTAGTGCACGACTGCGTCGCTGCACATCGCTCCGCAGAGCGCTGAGCGGGAGGTTTAACCTGGATTTTTCTCACACACGGGACACACACACACAGAGACAGGACACACACAGGCTATTTGCAGAAACGGGCAGAGCTCGTCTCCATGCCTGGGCACCGGGCAGGGCATACGCCTGAGCGACCTGGCCGGCGCTCGGATGCTCACGGACGCACCGCAGGAAGCTTGGAAGCTCCGGCCTCATCTGGTGGCGGCGGGCCTTCGTAGCCATCGGGCTGGGTCCGAACCAGGGCCTGGCTGAGGAGCCGCGAGCGACCCAAAGATGACAGTGACCGCACTCTTTTGGAGACTGCCTGATCATGAGCCATCTGAGAGATCCTGGTAAGTCCGCAAGATTGAGCCCAAGCGAGGTCTATGTACCTAACTACACAGCATCTCTGCTCCAACTACAAAGGATACCATCGGGATGAAAGGTTCAAGGACAAAGGCGCCTGACCTCGGCTTGCCCAAAACAAGAGGAACCCTTTCAGCCCCTCTTATGTCAGCTGCTCTTTGACAGCAGGCATGCCCTCTCCGGGCCCTCGCCTAGGCCCCTGTACGAGGCCGCTGGGATTCGGACAATCAGGCTGACTAGTGACTCGATCAGCTACATCCCACTGAATACGGGAGCCGTAATAACTTGGCTCAACAAATAAGATCCTGTACAGATGCATGGTCGGCTTGCTTGATGCCCCGCAAGGAGCCCACCACGACAACGCCATCTGGTCACATCCCTGCAGCGTTCTGCAGACAACCCTTCGAGTGCCTGCTGCCAAATCCCCCGCCTCAACCAGCAGCGCGCTGGCACTGATGATTTTCAGACCAATGGCTCCAGCAAAGCTGGGCGCTTCGGCTTCATGGACCGGCAGAAAAGCCATGCGGCCGAAGCTGTGATGGCCTGCAGAGACGGCGAGGACATCACATTGACACAAGTGCAAGCGATGTGGAAAGCTGAGGCGCTGCAGCTGCCAGCAGGATGATGCCAGAAAGCCCGGGCGCTGCTGGCCTCAAGCATCGCTTCAAAGTATGCTTTCGATTGCACTATCCGTGCATGGTCATTCTGCCTTGCTCCTTCAGACCTAGATTTTTGAGGTATGGCTCGAGATGCTCTTGAGAAGCTAGCCGTCTCGACTTACTTCCTCGGCGCCCGGCTCTGAGCTTGTGAGGCGGGAGCTTTGAGCCGCCTCCAACGGCCAGCCATCCTCTCACAGCCAGAACAAATTCGCTGGGGAATCGTGCAGCAATTCTTGGATGCCTCCTTCGTAGCATTGGGAGCAGCTGTAGGCTTTGAGGTGTTCTGCTTGGCGAGCACCTCGAGTGCTAAATGCTCTCATGCGCCCCGACGCTGTTGCTCGTAGATTTCGGACTTGGCCATTGCACCCTCCACTCCATCTAGCCCTCCCCTTTTGCGTCATTGTGTATCTCTGCTGTGCTCTGTGCAGCGCAAGCTTCAAGCTGATCCACAATGCACCTTCCTCACTATCTCAGGCGAATTCTGAAACTATTGGGCGGGCGGGCGGGCGGGCGGGCGGGCGGGCGGGCGGGCGGGCGGGCGGGCGGGCGGGCGGGCGGGCGGGCGGGCGGGCGGGCGGGCGGGCGGGCGGGTGGGTGGGTG